TTTTTTTTCGATGTCGAAAAGCGTCCTCAGCTCAGCGTCCAGTAAGAATTCCGGCGATTCTCGACTTCAATTGAAAGATATTAGCTCGCCAGTAGGTAACCGTTGTGTGTTAGGCGTGCGTTTGAGTTTGTCTCCGGCTGCTGAGAGCAGCGATGGAATGGTTAGTTCGTCAGGAGGTGATCGTTCGGGCAACATTCAGCCCAGCCAGTGTCACGCATGGCAAAATACACATGTTCACCCTATTGAGACCAGTTGTTATGGTGGAAACTTTGGCCGCTTTGCGGGACGGGAAAATATCATCAGATCGGAATGAAATTTTGCACAGAACCTTGTACCATAGTATCGACAAGAATTTCGACCCGGCCCGACGAATCCGACAAACTTTTTTTTTTGCCATGAAAATGTGGACCACCCTAATATACATATATATATATATTCTTTTATTATTATTATTTTGCGCATGTAAATACTTGTTTTCTACTTTTTTACTTCCTCCCTCCAAACTTTGCTGCTGAACATTGCAAATTTCTCCGTTGTGAGACAATAAAGGTTTTCTTATCTTAATATCACAAGTTCTTTCTGTGTTTATGAAGAGCTGCACTGTGGTGGGGTGAACTGTAATTTTGGCCATAGTGATAATAATCCACCCATCCATTTTCCAATCCACTTTATCCTCACAAGGGTCATGGGGGGTGCTGGAGCCTTTCCCAGCTGTCTTCAGGCAGTAGGCGGGGGACTCCCTGAACCGGTTGCTCGCCAAATCGCAGGGCACACACAGACGAACAACAATTTGCACACCGAGGGACAATTTAGTGTTCCATTAATTTTGGAATGTGGAAGGAAACCAGAGAACCCGGAGAAAACCCACGCAGGCACGGCGAGAACATGCAAACTCCACACCGGGAGGCCAGAGCCGGAATCGAATCCTGCACCTCTGCAGCGTGAGTTTGACGCGCTCACCACTGGACCACCGGGCTGCCCAGTGATAATAATCGAATGCACAGTCAATAAATTCAGTAGTTCATCTGGGTCTGCAACCGAAATGTTGCGGATTTTTCATTTCCATGTACCATCCTGTCCACAAACGCTCTCTGCAATCACTTACCAGTTTTTGTGTTGTCCTCTTAACTAACCAACTAACTCCAGTCCCATGGGAGGTGGGAATGAAACAAAAAAGATTGTACCCTCTTAACTCAGTCAATGCTTTGCAAATGTAACCATTCTTATGATAAGGATGAACTTTACACATTAAGAGGCCTTTTGAAATGTGGAAATCTTCACATCATCTTAGTTCATCAGCGACATCCTCTGTGAACATCTTCACTGGCCACAGATGAATTCTCAAACATATTACATTGATAATTATGTCTCATAAATGTCACTTGTGTGAAGGCTGCCATTTGTCCAGGAACGATGTGTGTCTCTTTATGTTTTTTATTTATTTTGGGGTTGACGTTTTGTTTTTCGTTTCATCTCTGTATGGCAGCAAAAGCCCCCCAACTCCTAGCAAGCCCCGTCTGCCTCCGCCTTCTCCTACCAAGCACCCCAATCACTGACAAAGTCTCCGGCCCTGAACTACTCCATCAGGGAGACAAGTTTATGGATGACACCTTCATTGGAATTAATCAGAGGGACTTGATTAATAACGTTATTTCGCCCCTTCATTAAGACTTACACAAGTGGTGCTGCCACATATTATAATTTATATCCCACTGCATTCTGGCGCTGATGATGGACAGAGGAACAGACATATTGCCATTTGCTCACAGACATGTGGGAGTGCATGGAAGAGAAGAGGGAAAAAAAAGGAGTGGGTATGAGAGCGTGTGCATGTGGAGAACATGCATGGCCCCAATAAACATATTCCCAATCACTCTGTCATGCACAACTCAACAGCTTTTGCAGAGTTTAATAAATGACTTTAATTGGCTGAAGAGGAGAAAGGAGGCTCACATATTCCATTTTGTCTCCCTTCCTGTCTCTGTCACACACGTGCATGCACACCCCTGAATGAAGCCATCTCTTTACCTTTACTCACAGTTCCTGGGTCTGCTGTGGCTAATTAGTTGAGTGGGGTTTTAGGTTTGGTAATTAGACAGAGGCAGGAGTGACGGGGGCTCTGGGAGTTGGGGAGTTAAGGGTGTCTGACTGACTTGCAGGGAAAGAAACTGGACTGTCTGGCAGCGTCCCTTAGGCATCTGGCGGTCCGCACAACAGCGATGATGTCTTTGTTTCGTGCCGCATGTCTCAGCCAGCAGAAACCAGAGGTAAAAAAAAAAAAAAATCCTAATGAGAGAGAGAAAGACCATCTTGTTTTAGGATTAGGCAATAACACCTGGAATGGTAAATTTTACAAGAATTTATGAATCTGTCTTGTATAGGTGTAAGATGACATTTTAGATGCCAGTAAATTGCTTCTATATAAAATAAATGCTTCAAACATTTTCTGTTTTGATAAACCCCATGATTGAGTTCATCTTACATTTATGTTGGTGTAGATTACACAAGTGTTTCCAATCGTGTTCCCGTGTTCTTCTCCAGCTGTTACCCAAATTATAAAACATGCAGTCCTGCAGGTACGATGCAGTGCAGTTGTAAATTACTGGAAACTATTCATCTATCCCTCCATTTTCTATACCACTTAGCCTGCTTCGCAGTCATGGGGAGCTGGAGCCGATCCCAGCTAACGTTGGGGCAAAGGTGGACTACATCCTGGAATGGTCACCAATTAGTCACAGGGACACTGCGAGTCAACCAGTCATACCGCTGTTTTAGGGCAGAATCGTCATACCTCCAAAATCATTACTTTTTAGGAGGTCAAAAGGCATCTTTGTTCAACTATTAACATTGGATCGTTGAAGAGAACAAGCCACTTTCAACAATTTCATATATATATATATATATAGAGAGAGAGAGAGAGAGAGAGAGAGAGAGAGAGAGAGAGAGAGAGAGAGAGAGAGAGAGAGAGAGAATCTGTGAATCTGTCAAGTACATGATAAAAAATAGTTAGGGTCACTAATTATTGTGTAATAAAGTGAACCATAATTCCCATTCGATTGTTCAATTTTCTTCCTTCTGTAGGTCGTATTCCTTTGAGACTGAAATAAATACATTTAAAATCACCCACGCTCGTGTTTATCAACAAAAATATAAACAAAGGTTTTTCACTAGAACTGTAGTAAACGTTTTTATTTTCTTAAAAATGTTTTGTCAATTTTCTTACGCGTTATTAAGCTCGTGCGAATTAACTCTTTTATGGGCAGGAGCACTGCATTTAAAAGCGAGAGAAGCAGTTCGCTCCTGGAATTAATAAACACAGTTGAACCATTGTACAAAAAGTCCCACAAAAAGGACTTTTGCAGTCTTTAATGTCTTGTTTACTCCCAACAGTTCCAGGTTGCTTCCCTATGTAGCCGGTAAAGAAGCCTTTGTCTGCAACACAATCCAATTAAATAAAGAGTGTTGTCTCTCCAAGTTCCTGTGTTCTCTAATTGGGGCTGTGACTGCTCACTAATCAGCCGAGGTACAGGTGGGCCCTGGAGGACGCAGAGACAAGGCTTCTCCTGTTAATTGAAGAGATGCTAAACTTGGCCTCCTCATTGCCATGCAACATAGATGCAAACAGCAGTCAAGCATGCTAAATTTATCTAAACATCCATGTGCATCATCTCGCCTCTCACCTTTTGTGCCGCTGTTTTTTTTTTCATTCCATAATGCTGAAGCAACAGGGGTGTTACAGAGGTGATTGTGATAATTAAATGATCACCCGTTTGTGCTTTTGATCAACTTATCCCGTTTCATGTCACTACTTAATTACAGCCTATACCCCAGTTAGAAAAGGACAACTGTGAATTGATAACACACATACCTGTGTAAATGCTCTTAGACCTGTAGCAAACAGCAAGAGCAATGACGAATTCGAATTGACCAGTTTCCCCCCGATTTGCACCCCAGAGCTGAAGCAAATGTGGCTGGCGGTGGCCGTGAGTTCCTGTCCCATCTGGTGAAGTTTGCCACCACGCATGCTGGATCACAACTGAAAAGTATATCACACTGGGTGGTTGTACTGTGAGTGGCCACCCGGATGAGGAAATAACATGCCCACAGTATATTAAGGAAACAGCCATCTCTGCCAGTATTTATTTCCTTTTATTTTAAACACTCTCTCTCTTTTTTAATGCTGGGAAACTTTTTGGAGGCTTTTTAAAACTCTCCGGGTGTAACCTCATTACATTTGAAAATATGAAACTTTTATGCACAATTAATTCCCCTCAGGAATGTTTGAATGGCTTACTGCTACAAAGCACTGGAATGACAATAAATGTCAAGGGGCAAGTAGGGCACAGTAACTCACGAAAAAAATGTTTGTTTTTCTTTTCGCAGTACGAACAGCAATTTTACATCTGACTGCTAGTTAACTGGACACATTTTTTATTATGTGCAGCTTTGGGGCATATGAAGGCAAAGATTGATTGTTCGGATTGTGTTTCTGTCAGCTACACACAGGCAATAAGATATCAGGCGCACCTGGAGCAGTATTCACTTTTGACATATCCACGTAAGCCCCTAAAAGACAAACAATGAAGTCTATAAAACATTTATGGTAGACGAAGTGCTGGAGAGCGCTAAAAGCAAGCAGAGTGAGGCATCTGGTCTGCAATGAGTGAAAATGGGGAAGAACATTAAACACCGTGTTCATTTTGCAGCGGAAACTGTAATCGAGGTTAAATTTACATACGCAGGGAAGATTTCTAAATACATTCTAAATTTTTCCTGATATGAAATTATGATTGTGCAAAGTGAAAGTAAACTAATCAAACTGTTCTTGCTTTTTGTAGTTACAAAGTTGACTATGCATCACAAACATTTTGCATAGCTGATCTGTTTATTTAGCAAAATAGCCATTGCCAGTCGATCTCGATTCTTGCCATAATTGCATCGTTGATGATTTCCAAGTGAAAGCAGAATTTCTATGGCGCAAATCATTTACAGTTTACTGCTGGAATTAGAGGGAGGTGCCACTTCGACCACAACCTTGCCGAGGTTCTTTCCTGCATACATGTAGTCCACGGCTCGGAAGACGGACTCCAAGCCAACAAACCTCCCTTCTTGGGCCAAATCCCCATAATCCACCTCGCACATAAGCTTGCCCGTGGCAAACATCTGCATCATCTGAGTCAGAGCCTCCTTGTAGTCGCTGATGAAGTGAGGAAGGAAGAAACCTCGAATGCTTGCTGACTTCTGGAGAAGCTTGACGGGTAAAGTTGCCCCTCTGAACTTTGGGATTCCTGACGCCGACTGGTAACCTGAGATGAAGCCAATGACTATTAGTCGGCCTTTTTTAGCCAAACAGTTCACTGCCAATTCTAAAGTGCTGCCCCCGACTGATTCATAAACCACGTCAATGCCTTCTGGGTACTCTGTCTTCAGGGTCTTGGCCAAATCCTCCGCTTTGTAGTTAATTGGCCTGTCGCAGCCAATCGACTTCAGGAAAGCCGCTTTCTCATTGGACGAACAGGTCCCGATCACGTGACAGCCCGCCTGTTTGGCAAACTGCACCGCAAACTGTCCTGTTCCTCCCGCAGCCGCGGTGACCAGAACAGTCTCGCCTTTGGCCAGGTCGCCCAGACGCTTCAAGGCAATGTAGGCGGTTGCGCCGCTGACCAGCAGGGTGAGGAACTCGGGCTTCGCCGAAGGGACAGGCACACTTTCCTTGGCGGGAACCACGCTGTACTCAGCAAAGGCGCCGCTGCTGAAGTAAGCCACAGTGTCCCCCATGGTGAAGCGGGAGCTGGCGGTGAGGCCGAGGCCAACAACCTCACCGATACCCTCAAAACCAGCATCGAAGGGAGGTTGCACTGTCGGGTCGTAACGGCCTGCTGAATAATTAATATCAGAGGCGTTGATCCCCACAAAACTGAAAGAGAGTGGAAACACACACACACACACACACACACACACACACACGCACACGCACACGCACACGCACACACACACATTTGAAATGAAATATGAGACATGAAACAGTTAACACGATGATCCATCTCAAGATATATCGGCGCTTGGATTTGTTCTGGAAATGATCTGCTTTTCCTCTTGAAAAGAGCAGCAAGCTCCACTGACAGCAAGTGCTTATATCACACAACACAATGCATGATATCATGATTCATTGCCTTCAGACACCCATAACAGACTGTACTTTGAAAACCATACGTACAGTCGTTGCTTCAGCACAAGGGTGACTGTTTTCATCACTTGCAACATGATGGAAAGAAACATGTAAGATGGAGGAAGTGAATAAATAAACTGTCTTTCCTGTCTTACCGATCACCATTTGGGTCTCATCGCAGCGCGTGTAATGCTTCTGTACGCTCGCGAGGGGTCAAAGTGATTGACTAACTTGATTGCAAATTAAAAATAAAATTGTTGCAGCAGATAAAATTGAAAATACACAGGTGGCATGGGGTCAAACGCAGTCAGATGTGACACTGACATTTCAGTCTATTTAAAGACAAGCTTAATGATACGTCTTTAATCATGTTCTCATGGCTACGTCGTCAACTATAATTTGATACTCTTTCCTTAAACACAGGCTACACATGAAAACACTACATTTAAAAGTAAAATTAATCCGCTCCTTTTGAAGTAAAAAGCTAAAGTTGGCATCACTATCACGCTATCAGTTCAATTTGGGGGTGAACTGCAAGATTTAATGCAACGCAGAATTGTGGGCAAGAATTCTGACAAAGGTGAAAATGTATTTTTAAAAAATTTAGAAATGATACACTTCCATTGATTGTCTCACGTTTTATGTGCAAATGTTTTTTAATGTCTTGTGCATAATTATCAGACAAGTCATGGACTTACAGTATCAATATTTCTGTGATGATGATAATACTGGATTCTAATTCATGAAAGATGATAACCAGTGGACAAACAATTGCTGAAAAAGTCTGAATGTGCTTTTGACTCCTCCTCGCTCCTTTTGCTGAAATAAAAACATCCTAGATCCACAACTGTGATATTGCCATGACCACCCATCGCAAAGAACCTGACGGTCAAAGGTCTTCGTTTACCAGCAAATAATCACAATACAGTAGGCTATAATGTGATCTTCACTCAGACCGGTGCAAAACTACATTTTATTGAGCCGTAAATGCCACAACATAAAACCTAAGCGGACTGTGAAAGGTGTATTTAGCACAATATCTCAGGTCAAGCATGCAGATCTAATTAAAAACAGGGAAAAATTTTGTTTTCAGATGGATTTAAATCTTAAAAGTCTCTTATGTGTCTTTGGAACTGGATTGTGAGGAAATGTGTTTCCATTGCCTTGAGGCACAGTGACCAGCACTTTGCTCCTTTGAATAGGTAAAAAGACAGTGCTGCGTCTCCTCCATCATCACATCTGTTGGAACCAGTAGCCCCCCCATGACTTTGTGTTTGCAGGTTGGTGACGTATACAGACATGAAGACAGAGAGAGAGGGAGAGGAGGGAGAGAAAGAGAGAGAGAGAGGGACATGCCGAGATGGATTGATAGACAAATGCAGAGAGGGCGGAACTTGGAATTACAGTACAGCTCTTATTCCTCACGTATTTTGCCATCTTGTGATGTGGATGATTGCTGCTTCTGGTGGACATGGCTGAAACGAGGCAAGTAAGGCTAACCCCCTTTCTTTTATTTACAACTTGTAAACGCATCATAATAATACGCACGTAGTGAGATAACACCATTGTGGTCTGTATTTAATGCGTGCAGAAATTAAGAACTTACCGATTTCTGACGAGCAAGTCCGCGTCTGCGGGTGTCGGAACCGGAACAGTTTGCACAGAGGCGGCTTCTCTAAATTTGGGGCTCAGCTTGTTTACGACCACCTTTTTCATGCGGCTCGCTATGGAGGATCCTTTAAAATCAATGAAGTGCGCCGAGTAGGACATGTCGATGATGGGGCGCCTCGGAACCGGAAGAAGTCCAGAAAGTGAGTCGGTGCCTCTCAGTCTCGAACTGACGAGTGAAAACAAAAACGCCTTCTGAGCACTTTTCGCCCACATCGGACCGGACATTGCCCCCGAAATGCGACAAAGTTCACGGGCAACTTGAGGTGACGTTTAGCCAGTAAGAGGCTCGTCCCCGGCGCGTACAACACAGGCCCAGCCCCGTTCAAACGAGGCCATTATGTCTTCGAACCGAGCACAAACAAGACGGCACCGCGTAGCTCGACTCTCGTTTGCATACGCAAAGCGGATCCGTCCATACGCGGAATGTTAAACACAAAACGTTTGGCTGTGGCGAAGCCTCGGAGAAGAGAAACACAGCAGCGACCCACACACGCTAGTCGGCGTCGCTGGAGTCCCTCCCCTTTCTTCTTCTTCCCGGACACGACACTCACTTCCTTGTAAGGTGAAACAAATCAATCCTCGGTTCCCAACACATCCACACCTCCGTTTCCTCACAAAAATAACAACAGCGTGACTCACGTGTTCTCTCATTCAGCAGCCGAATAATATCAAACACACGAAAGAGAACGCACCGCATTTATACGTCAATCGACGTGTTTAAAGAGCTGTTTTGTATTCACGGGTGTACACCTGTAACCTCAGTTTACATATCTAATTGGATAGGCAGATGTTAGCATTTTAAGAGGGTCTGTAATTTAACCCCGTTTTAATGCCAGTCGTGTAACACATTTCACGGACTGACCTGCCAACTCAAGCTTTGCCGCTGCCGTACTTTTATTTTTTATAAGTATGACGTGGACGTAGCGGTAATATTTCAATGTGCCTCAATGTTCTTGTTTGTGTGCTTGTAATGGCTACATGAGAATCTGCTGGGCTGCTATTGTCGGGTTTCTTTTTTACAGCAAAGCGGGGGAGAGGGAGGGAGAGCGAGAGAGAAAAGCAGAGCGAGCGAGAGAGAGTTGGTTGGGTAAGGGGACAAGACAATTAAAAAGATTGACAGGTAGCCTCCTCTGTCAGGGGTGACGCTCGTGGAGAAGGGGAGGAGTAAAAATGCAGCAGGAAAAGCCACTCGATGCGTCTGTCTATCAGTTGAGACTGTCTGAAACAGCTTCTGGATCCGTCGTGTTTCAATTTGGACTTTTTTAGGAGGGGAAAAGAGCTCGGATCTGTCGCCGGAGTTGCCCCCTCCCTCGTTTGTCCCCTCGTTCTTTTAAGAGACAAAACGTGTTAGTAGTCCATGTCGATCTGATATGTTGTTGGCGAAAGCTTTGGATGCGTCTTGCTCGCCTCTCAAGTGATTCCTTCCTTCTCATCGCATCAAACAGCCAACCCCCCAAAATGCGACTCGGTCCTCGAGATGCAACGAGATGATCCTTTGCGCCACTCCTAGAGCGTAGGTAAGAGAGCAAGACAAACGGTGTGATTATTTGTTTTGTTCACACCGAAAGAAAAGTGCGTTGAACGGGAGGGAGGGGAAAAGTCTCCGCCGGACTAGTGAGGCTGGATCCGGGCGGGCTGAGGTGGCGTAGTGGTGACGGAACTGACATTAACCCATCTAATGCCTGCATGTCTTTTATCTCCTTCTCTTTTAGGGTACTGGTTTCGGAAGAAACCGAAAGGGCTCGCGTCTAATCAAGAAGTGTCCGTGGCGTTCACTTCGGACTTATTTGTGTTGTTTATTTATTGTTTTATTTTTGTAGTGTGTGAAAAGTGCAGCAAACTATCACTCCATTCAGACATTGAAGATTGGGGAAATGTGTTTCCATTGCCTTGAGGCACAGTGACCAGCACTTTGCTCCTTTGAATAGGTAAAAAGACAGTGCTGCGTCTCCTCCATCATCACATCTGTTGGAACCAGTAGCCCCCCCATGACTTTGTGTTTGCAGGTTGGTGACGTATACAGACATGAAGACAGAGAGAGAGGGAGAGGAGGGAGAGAAAGAGAGAGAGAGAGGGACATGCCGAGATGGATTGATAGACAAATGCAGAGAGGGCGGAACTTGGAATTACAGTACAGCTCTTATTCCTCACGTATTTTGCCATCTTGTGATGTGGATGATTGCTGCTTCTGGTGGACATGGCTGAAACGAGGCAAGTAAGGCTAACCCCCTTTCTTTTATTTACAACTTGTAAACGCATCATAATAATACGCACGTAGTGAGATAACACCATTGTGGTCTGTATTTAATGCGTGCAGAAATTAAGAACTTACCGATTTCTGACGAGCAAGTCCGCGTCTGCGGGTGTCGGAACCGGAACAGTTTGCACAGAGGCGGCTTCTCTAAATTTGGGGCTCAGCTTGTTTACGACCACCTTTTTCATGCGGCTCGCTATGGAGGATCCTTTAAAATCAATGAAGTGCGCCGAGTAGGACATGTCGATGATGGGGCGCCTCGGAACCGGAAGAAGTCCAGAAAGTGAGTCGGTGCCTCTCAGTCTCGAACTGACGAGTGAAAACAAAAACGCCTTCTGAGCACTTTTCGCCCACATCGGACCGGACATTGCCCCCGAAATGCGACAAAGTTCACGGGCAACTTGAGGTGACGTTTAGCCAGTAAGAGGCTCGTCCCCGGCGCGTACAACACAGGCCCAGCCCCGTTCAAACGAGGCCATTATGTCTTCGAACCGAGCACAAACAAGACGGCACCGCGTAGCTCGACTCTCGTTTGCATACGCAAAGCGGATCCGTCCATACGCGGAATGTTAAACACAAAACGTTTGGCTGTGGCGAAGCCTCGGAGAAGAGAAACACAGCAGCGACCCACACACGCTAGTCGGCGTCGCTGGAGTCCCTCCCCTTTCTTCTTCTTCCCGGACACGACACTCACTTCCTTGTAAGGTGAAACAAATCAATCCTCGGTTCCCAACACATCCACACCTCCGTTTCCTCACAAAAATAACAACAGCGTGACTCACGTGTTCTCTCATTCAGCAGCCGAATAATATCAAACACACGAAAGAGAACGCACCGCATTTATACGTCAATCGACGTGTTTAAAGAGCTGTTTTGTATTCACGGGTGTACACCTGTAACCTCAGTTTACATATCTAATTGGATAGGCAGATGTTAGCATTTTAAGAGGGTCTGTAATTTAACCCCGTTTTAATGCCAGTCGTGTAACACATTTCACGGACTGACCTGCCAACTCAAGCTTTGCCGCTGCCGTACTTTTATTTTTTATAAGTATGACGTGGACGTAGCGGTAATATTTCAATGTGCCTCAATGTTCTTGTTTGTGTGCTTGTAATGGCTACATGAGAATCTGCTGGGCTGCTATTGTCGGGTTTCTTTTTTACAGCAAAGCGGGGGAGAGGGAGGGAGAGCGAGAGAGAAAAGCAGAGCGAGCGAGAGAGAGTTGGTTGGGTAAGGGGACAAGACAATTAAAAAGATTGACAGGTAGCCTCCTCTGTCAGGGGTGACGCTCGTGGAGAAGGGGAGGAGTAAAAATGCAGCAGGAAAAGCCACTCGATGCGTCTGTCTATCAGTTGAGACTGTCTGAAACAGCTTCTGGATCCGTCGTGTTTCAATTTGGACTTTTTTAGGAGGGGAAAAGAGCTCGGATCTGTCGCCGGAGTTGCCCCCTCCCTCGTTTGTCCCCTCGTTCTTTTAAGAGACAAAACGTGTTAGTAGTCCATGTCGATCTGATATGTTGTTGGCGAAAGCTTTGGATGCGTCTTGCTCGCCTCTCAAGTGATTCCTTCCTTCTCATCGCATCAAACAGCCAACCCCCCAAAATGCGACTCGGTCCTCGAGATGCAACGAGATGATCCTTTGCGCCACTCCTAGAGCGTAGGTAAGAGAGCAAGACAAACGGTGTGATTATTTGTTTTGTTCACACCGAAAGAAAAGTGCGTTGAACGGGAGGGAGGGGAAAAGTCTCCGCCGGACTAGTGAGGCTGGATCCGGGCGGGCTGAGGTGGCGTAGTGGTGACGGAACTGACATTAACCCATCTAATGCCTGCATGTCTTTTATCTCCTTCTCTTTTAGGGTACTGGTTTCGGAAGAAACCGAAAGGGCTCGCGTCTAATCAAGAAGTGTCCGTGGCGTTCACTTCGGACTTATTTGTGTTGTTTATTTATTGTTTTATTTTTGTAGTGTGTGAAAAGTGCAGCAAACTATCACTCCATTCAGACATTGAAGATTGGGGATTTTTTTTTTTTTATATCAAGCCGAAGTGAAACTTTGGGTTTCGAGCTTTTTGCTCCACTTTACAACCCGGCCACGAGGGACCTGAAGGACGATGATATTTGATGGACATGAAGGTCTCCCGAGCTTGCTCCACTCCGTTCGTAATTTTTGAGCTCCACGCTGCTGGAGCCGATCCAACTATTACGACTAAAAATATCTGCCAGTGTGAAAAAGAAGAGTGACATTTTCAGCTCCGAGATCAAAACGCTGTCCCACCCAAAAGGGATGATTCTTCACCAGTGACAGTCTTGAGTTCTTTGTCATTTCTGCATGAGAAACGCCGTGGAGGCTGACGGTCACTATGCCGAGGAGAAAGCAGCAAGAGCCGCGCCGATCAGCAGGTATAACCCACCCGCCTCTTCTTCACCACCATTTCTCACCTCTCTCACCAAATACTGTAATTCTTTTAAATTCACTCATGCAGTCTCTTTATTTAACATTGCATCATTTTTGATATTGCTGCATGCTAAAATCACACAATTTAACTCTTCAACAACAATACATTTTATGTCACCCCCAACTTGTGTTATATGTTTACAATTGCAGAAATACAGTTTCTGTACATTGATCCATTTTGATTGTTATCCATCGGCTGTGTTATAGGGGTGAGAAATTAAACAGAATGTTTCCGTTTTGGGGGGGATAAGAGGAAGCTTTTGAGGCCCAAAAGTGAGTAATGATGAGTGAGAATGAAAGGGGTAAACTGGTGAGAGACGTTTTTTTTTCTTTTTTTTTTTTTTTTGTTATTTTATTAGAGAGGTGCCATCCTTGATTTGACTGGTGATTGATCGCCTGTCACATGGCTCTCTCTGATCTGTTCATTCCTGATGAACTTCAATAAATCCCTCTGTAATGTCAGGCATGCTTTGTCAGGTTTAACACTCAACATTTCTGTTGTCAAGTATCAGACAAAGTTACGACTGGAAAATTGATTTTGAGGGAGCGAAGTCAAATTTAAAAGAAAGAATGGCGTGCATGCGGTGTGGTTAATTGTAAAAAAAAAATGTGCCTAAAAAATACGTCACATCAGATATAGTAATTTTCTTCAGTAAGAAATGTTGTGGTTTTCTTTTGGTACTTCCATCCAAAATTCACCTTACATCCTCCCCAAGACTCAGTGTAGTATCGGAATCGATATCCAGTGCTGAAGGGGAGTCTAATATTTACTGTGTGGCCAGCTGATCAACCCAAGTGTTGGCAGAGGGCTGACACCGTTGACTTCTAGTGGTTTGGATCTGGACTCCCCCCATTTTCCCCTCTCGTCTCCCTGCAGCCTTTAAACAAATGTAAATGAGTGACAGGGGTTTCTACCTCTGTGCTAATGAGGCGGACCCTTTGAAGTTAGGCATTAACAACTGGAGTGAACAAAAGACAGTTACAGAATTTTAAAGAGATTCTGAAATATGAGGTGCAAAGCGGGTCGAAGAGGAGGGCCAGCCGCCGAAGACTTTGAACTCGGCAGGTTTTATCTTTTTAAGCGTAGAGCTGCTGCTGGTGATGTTGAGGAGGAGGAGGAGGAGGAGATGATGTGGAGGAGTAGAAAACGTGCAACCGGTGCTCACAGTCGACTTATTTCTGTCTGCCTTTCGAGCAAAGCCGTGTTCACGTGAATCCAGACGCAGGCTATGAGGGAAAAGGCTCAGATCTAGATTTTCAGGCAGACTTTTCCTCTCGAGTGTATGTGTGCGTGTTGGGGGTTTGGTTATTTCAATAAAATACCCCCTCTGGAAAAGGTCACCCTTGTTGGAATCAGAGTGACTCTCATTAGCCCTCTGCATGAAAACATGACATCTCTTTGACCCCTCCATCCCCAACGCTCCCTCCCTCTCATATCACACACCCCATTGATCCATCACATTGTCCACTGAGTGCCATCATCTGTTGTAATGGTCCTTCACAACTTGGCATACAGGATGCTTTCTATTCTCCCGTCAGCTCTACGGTTGTACAAAGTACCACCCGTTCACTCTGCGATGATCCAAATCGCAGCAAATAATTCATACATACACACATGCGCGCACGTACACACACACACACACACACACACACACACACACACACACACACACACACACACACACACACACACACACACACACACACACACACACACAGCAGACTTAGGGAGGCTATAATGGGAGCAAATAGTGACCCGTGGCTACCCCATAGCAAAGAGAGCATTTAAATGGAGACATAAATCCGAACGAAATGTTAAGAAACAAATATCAGTGTATAGTCAGCAACGTAAGAACTCTTAAGAGTGGGTGTTTTTTTTCCAAGTTCAGAAGTCCAAAGTTTTGAATGTGTTTATTGCCGGTATTAAGTTGTTTTTATTATGGTGTACATTCGTTTGCAAGGTTGTCAAATTGTGCGCATCATGTCACTCTTGTAAAAACGGGTATATTCTGGACTCCCCTAATGTTCACCTAATTTTATAGTGAATTATTTTTTATTATCCTCCTTTAATATGTTTAGAAAACATTTTCATTAAGATTTGAAATAGCGGATGTTTTTTTTCCTCCCAAATGGCCGGACATTTTTGTATAGCCACTAAAATGGACATAACTAGGTGATGGTGTATTCTCATTATTGTTTTTGTTGCAAAATAACTAATACACAAACCTTGTGAAATCAAAAAGTCTATCAATAAGTCTGGAGGCAATTAAAAAAAAAGGTGTCTATTCATTTCCTTCTTTGTTTGCCATTTTCAAATTTATAGACTTTTATCATTGTACGACTTTATTGATGAAGGCAGGCTGAAAAAAAAGATTGATGCTGGATTTTTACTGAGGTTAATATTCACTTTAAAAGGGTGAAGATGAGTAAGAGAAACATATTCTA